AAAAAAAAAAAAAAAAAAAGCATTTTAATATATATAAGAAATGCGCAAAGTTTGAAATACAAATTCATCAATTTAATACAAAATTAGACAACGTTTGTGCTTAGAGACCATAGAAAGCAATATCACTATCCAAAAAGTGTTAAAACTTTGACAATTTACATTTCAGCCCTGACTAAATAAACTGAACAAACCATAAGCTTGTGCTTACTTTTTATTGGTATATGAACTGCCAGAAAAAAAAAAAATCTAAAAATATTTGGGCCAGTGTAGAAATGTTATGAGGGCCACATGTGGCCCTCATTTTACTTTTTTGCAATTCCAGTAATGTTGCAGAAGGGTGGTTTTGGGTTCTACTCTGGAGTGATTTGTATGAAGATATTTCTATTTGGTATCTACAAGGTGTTTTGCAAATTTACCTAAGAGCTAGCTAGATTCCAGTAAAAGTGGTACCAGAGCAGTGTGGATTGCAAGTTTTGCTGGGACAGCGACTGATGATTACATAAAAAGGTGTATAATACTGTGACAAAAGAAACAACTAGAACCGGTGCTCTACCCATGCCGGGCAAAGCAACAGGTTCACTTTACTGCTTGTCCCAGAGGAAGTATGCTTCCTTTTCCTTAGCTTCCCCGCTGCTCAATTTGCTTTTGAAAGTGAAGTAACATACTTGGTTCTTTTGGGTACGGAGGAGCACGTAACTCCCCTTCCTTCCATTAAATAGGAGAGAGAGTGCTCAGGTCTGTGTGAGCTCCAAGTTACACTTTGGAGTTTTCACAAGGCTTCTTCTCCCCACTTCCAGGAGCAAATGAGCAGCAGGAGGGCAAATGGAAAGGTAGGTATAAGAAGCTGCAGACACCTCCCTGCATGTGAAAAGGCGCCACATGTAATCGTATGTGATACAATTACATGTGGTTAGGAATAGATGATTGTCCCTGGACGCATGGTAGAGGCACCTTAACATTTGGTGTGAAAAAAGCCTTAGTCTCAGGAAATTTGGAGTGAGATTTGGTAATGTCACTACTGTGCTCCTAATGGTTCTCCTTCCTGGAGGCTGACATGAGGAAACAAAGCTCTGCCTCTACCAAGATGGCCGTCTCCACAAGGAAGCAATGTGCAGAACAAGGTATGGCAAGTCACTAGTGGGGGAAAGGTCAGCTACAGGGAGACCACAAGCAACTGGTGAGTAATCATTTGCTAGCTGCCTTCCTAATGTGTAATAGTTTTGGTCACTGTATAAAAGTAAAAGAACTGAACTCACCATCGTACTTTGCTAAAACTGCTTGCACATCTGCGTATGCCTGGAGCTCCAGCAGAGCTTCTAATAAGTTCTCATGAATATTGAACATGCTCAGCAGTGGGAACTCCTTCATTAACTAGAAGAAATAGGACATTGCACAGTTCTCTTAGCATGAATGCTAGCTCAAGTTGTACACTGGAGAATTACTCTGCAGATCACATCACCATTATACAGCAGACCATTTCAGAATGGAATATTTTCTGGAATATTTAATGACAAAAGAGCTTAGTTGAACATGGCCAGATACAGAACTTCAGAATAAGTGACGCAAAGTGACTAAATGTGCATGCAATTATTACACTATGCCGAAAATATCAGAACATCACTTCCTATTATTCTTGGCCTTTCCATGCCATTCTACCCTGTATATCCCTGCTTCTGATGTACAATACGTTTACTTAACCGTACTGGCTAAAGAATATATACCACTGATATAACGAGTGGTACAACCCACAATGCACTGTTCATTTCTTTCCCCTGTTACTCTACACTCTTAATCCCCCCATATTTTATAATGACACCCATACTTTAGCATAGAGAGAAGAAGAGACCACAAATATGTAATGCATCTTTGTTCTACCATTGCAATTTCTGAATACTGTACTGTATGTCCTGTTCTTGTAACCAGGAAATGTACTTGTTATGTACACTTGTGTAAACATCAGAAATCATTGTAAAAGAAGATATCAAGACAACAAAATGGAAACGAGTTTGGGTTTGCTCAGGGTCTTGCTCTTGCTTTTGGTTTGGATGAAAAAAAGCCGGATACCCCACATAAAATAAATATCTTTGAGACATCAAGCACTTCAAATTGCAGGAATAGCTTTTGTGTGTTAAAAAGTACCAACATGTATATTTTTATTAGCGGTCTGAAAACTGCTGTGAAACTACGAGTTCAAGGTATGCTGGGATTTTAATGGTTCTCTTGGTGTTGATATGTGAGAAAATATAATGATCTTACTGTATTCCTTCTCTTTCTATAGTGTGTAACTATGAACAAAGTTCCTGTTTTATCTTCTTAGACATAATTATGGGCGCATTTTGGTAATTGACATATAACACTCCAATAACACTATGTACTGAGTTCTCTTTATCATAATTAGTTGACCAATGGCACCATTCATTAACCTGGCACTGTATGTATTATTTTTGCATGATCATTGCATGTTTAGATTTGCGTTTTGCGGGGCAGATTTAAGTACATGAATTGTTGATATATAATGTATAACAATCATGAATCACTGTAATTCAAGCTTTAAGACCTGGGTACTACATTTTAACTCTCGCTAGTGCTGTACTCTCTAAATTAGTAAAAATACCCCCCCCCCCATGTCCACAAATGTCACACACAGAATGCTTATCTACAAGAATAAACCTGCATGTGATCCAGTATGCAGCTCGTAGAAAACTTATACATGGTTTTGGAGAAGCTGCACATTTTTAACAAGTTAAAATGAAATGTTTTGTCCTAATATTTATTACACTATTAAGAAGAATCTGTTTGACTGTGGAGCCAATAGCAGTGACAGCAATTCTCATGACCTACTGCATGTAAGCAGATGGCCCAAAGAAGCAGGCTACCCTGGAAGACACCAGATGGAGAAGGTATGCAGTAACAATAATCATGCTGGGTGCAATAATGCAATAATGTGCTGGGTTAAGATTATGAACATAGTTTGGTGTTAGGACTGGGTTTAAGGGTAATGTTCTAAAAGTCCAACTCCCCTTTTCCGGGACTCCCTCAACAAAGCCCCCCCCCCCTCTTAATACTTTAACTATTCTTGAATACAGATTTATTTCAGCCAGCTACATAATAAGAGGGGTCCTTCGTTGGCATTGACAGTCCTTACTGCAGGATAACACTACATTTCAGATATTTGATATTGTAAGGAAAATCAATGTAATAGAAATGTATCATCTATTTGTTCCCATATACAGTACATGTAGGTTTCCCCAAACTGACATTACCGCGGGGATTTGTAGCCAACACATCATTTCAGCCTGTGGGTGAATGTTAAATATGAGTTTGTATTCCATGGATACTTATCCCTACTAATAGAATGGCTTTGTCAGCTTCTTGTATTAAAGTGGAGTGGTCATGTCCAGCATAGTATTTAATGGAGAACTCCATTTAAAATTGAACACTCAGAAAGAAACTCAGAAGCAACTCTGAACAACAAGAATACTGTGAAGGCCCTGGATGTTAAATAAAAAGAACACAACCTGTGATGGGTGGTTCTGCTTGAAAAAACTGCCACATAGTGCAGATTATAGGTATATGTCAACAATAACTAAAAGCATTTAAGAAGCATGAGTCTAGAAAACCACTTACATCCCTCATCATCTTTACTGCTTCCCTTGTTCTGCCCAGCTTTCTTGCACACATTGCCAATCTCCTTTTAATGTACACAAGTACATTTGTGTCTCGCCCTATAATATAAATAAATATATTAAAATAAAGTAAGTCTAAAAATAAAATTATAATACACAAATACAGGGTAATGTAATGACAATTTAAAATCCAACATTAAAAGTGCATATATCACATGCTGTACAATACAACCCAACAGCTGCGTATTAATCTCTTAACCTAGGTTTCAATGGTATACCAGACTTCAAAAAAGGAAAGCTGGAAAGTATTTTAGTGAATACCTATTTTGAGTTAATATCGTGAATTCAGTTGAAATCAAATTTTATGTACAATATACACAATACCCTTTTTTGTTTATTAAGGTAAAAGTAAAGTCTGGTTCAGGAGCAGCTCTAAAAAACAGATGGCTCTTACTGTGCTGAGCTTCATACTGGGCACCATGGTGCTGTAACTGTTGACTTCTCCTGTAGCAGCCTTCTCCAGCTTTAAGTGCTTGCTTAAACAACTTCTCTGCCTCCACAATAGTAGTCGCCTCTTCCTCAGCGAGGAGAATAAATGCAGTAGCACATCTACAGAAGATATCAAAGAAAGACAAATTTCAAGATACAAATCTGACAATTTTGGAAATTAGGTTTTCTCTTCATTTCATCTGTATTCAGATTGAAGTTTCAATACTACATGGTTTTCCACTAATACTTGGTCTAGTGTAACCCTTTGCTTCCAACTTTATGGGGGGAAAAGTGGGTTCCTGGCTCATAAAGCAGCCAGAGAAAGTTAATTGCACATATAATGCATTTATTATGCAATTTTACAAACAATTACAGCTATATTAAAGCGTGTAAGATATTTTAAATCAGGAACTTAAATGTTTACATGGTTATTTACATCCTTAGGGGTGGCTAAAATTTGCCTTTTTCAACTACATGAAATACATTAGCAGGGCAGTCAAGAAAAGTTAAAGTGACATTAAACCCTCAGATTTTTTAACATAAAACAATACTGTAATGTGTGTCTTACTGTGATCCATGGTAGTTTCCCTTCTCTTTGATGCTCTTCCTTTTAAATCTGTATCTCTTCTCATGCTTAGAGAGAACTTCCCTTTTCAGCAGACTGCCTTGTCTCAAACGGTGTCTGTGTATCCGTTTGTGTAGGCTGTAACCTAAGCCAGCACTACAGGAAGAGGCCCTGAGCTGAAAAAGGGAAGTTCTCTTCAAGCATGAGAAGAGATACAGATTTAAAAGGAAGAGCATCAAAGAGAAGGGCAACAACCATGGATTACAGTAAGGCACACATTACAGTATTGGTTTATGTTAATGTCACTTTAAGTTTTCTTGAGAAACAGCTTTGTACCAACCTGTACAAAAATAACGCAGGTAATATATGCTGTCACAAAGCACCATCATGTTCATTAAAAAACAACTGCTCTATTTTTCCTC